ATAATTTACCTCCTTTTAGAAATTGTACATACGTAGAGCATGCTCTTGCGTATCGAATCAACTGAGAGATATATACCCCGTATGCAGGTGATGAAGGTATATTGCTGCATAAGTAAGGGAAGTTGACGATTGAAAAGTTAAAGTCATCACGTTTATCATAAAGCTTGGTTGTTAGATTACCATTAACGTCTTTTGCAAGTAAAATATCCAAATATGAAACAGATGTGTCAGACTCTGTGGTATCTTTTAACTCAAGTTCACCAGGATATATCGTATCGACATAAGAATGAAAATAGCGATTGTTAATTGACAATACGTCGTCGATATATCTAAATGTCGAGTTGAACGCCACAGCAAGTAATTTCTTCTTTTCACGTGCAAGATTTTGGACAAATTCTGCTTCATATGAATACAAAAAAAGGTCTGCTAATAACGGGGCGCAATTGGTACCCATAGAAATTCCAATAGATTGTTGGAAGACCTGGTCTCCAAAAACCACATAGATATTGTCAATCAGAAACTCAAGCATCTTTTTAATGTCAACTTCAGAGTACTTGTGTGTACAATCAGAGTGTTTTTTAACAAAATAATTTTGCAAATGACCAATGACAAGGTAAGTATATTTACGAGTTCCATTTTGATTGAAAAAGCAGCTGTCGATGATATCAAAAAGCCTGGACTTTAATTTATCGTGGGGAATGGTTGTGTATAAAGTTGAAAATCGTAAGTTTTTAAGCTGTTGATTTTGGTAAAATCTTGTGATTTCAAATTTTCCAAAAGTTCCTTGGAATTTTTAAGTATCCACATCTGATTTACACCACTTCTCGAATATATTGTTGCACAGTACTCTGTTTAGTAAAGGCTAAATTAGACACCATGTATTGTGTAAAATTTTGACAATTTCGAACGTGAATTCTAACCTTATATGTAACCTAATGTTTGCGTTTAATTTGCTGTTTAAGCATGTGCCTCCGCGGTCTAGGGATATGACTCTCGCTTAATATGTAAGAAGTTCCGGGTTTAATTCCCGGACGATCCCTTTTTTTTCCTTAATTTTTTTGGGGGGGATTAACTAAATGGTAGTATTCAACATGTGAAATGAAAAAGTTATGACGTCTTGCTTGTACAAACTCATAAAATCATTATTACAGTGTGATAAATATTCAATATAAAAAGAATCTTAAATACACATATTAAGGAATTAGCAATCAAATCTTTATATCCATATTGGCATTTTTTATTTGCTTCATTATACATTTAATAATTCTACATATCCAAGGGGGGTCCGATCCCCCCCCCCCCGAACTGCGCATGCTCTTCTTTTTTTTTCCTTAAGCGGGGGACGCAAATTCTCTGAATTAGCTTGTTTTCATTCATTAAGTGTAATAAAAGAGATGATTGCCCTTAGATAATGACTTCAAATTGTACAAAATTTAAATGTAACGTCAGGCGGATCGATACGTTTTTGACGCAAGTCTTTGTGACATAGGCAACCAAATTTATACGATATAATTTTTTTTATAAATTTTTTATCCAATCAAATACCGCGTTATAACCAGAATTAAATTATTGTAGAATAATTTGGCAATTTGTCAATGTATCAAGGTGAAATTTTCAACATATCTTAAATTTTTGTTGTTTTATGTTCCTTATAAATTTTGTAAGCACAGACTACATGTGTAGTATTAATTTTATCGCTTCAGTCCACGAACTTTTTTATAACCTCCCGTATAAAGCTTATATAAAGCCTTAGTAAGGCACACTTGTAGAGTTACGTACTAAAATAACAGGAAAAAACCCTAGACAATCTCTTAGACAAGTTCAACAATAGCTGGTTCACTAAAGTTTTTTTAAATTCGTGTATCAGTTATCCCTATTTTGTTGAAAAGTGCTGGGAGCTGGTTGTACTTTGTTGCTTTATTCCGGTTTTTGATATTATTTCAATGCGTATTACGTCCAGGTTGGCTGTCACAGATAATGGAGCGGATTTACTATTTTTTTTTTACTTTACTAACTTTTAAATATTTCCAAAAGCTTTGTCCAGATAATTTACATATTTAATTACAGTAAATATGCAAGTATACAAGATCTGTTGTTTGTCCTATAATGGGTTTTTGTCCTGCCGCCTTCCACTCCACAAGATCTCTAGGGCCAAAGGGTGGCCTTTCTACTACTTCCTAATGGGAGGGCGGACTCACTCAAGGCACTGGGTGGCCTCTCGACACAGTCTTAACTTTAAACTATGGATGGATGGAACCTCAGAAAAACTGGACCATTACACACAAGAAATACAAAGTAAGCCCTGGAAGCAATACTCGGTACTCGGCGCAACTATTAATGCTGGTTACAAAACATATCTGAGAGGGGGTAAAAGTGTCCTCCTCTCTGGACTGCCGTGTCCAAACTAACTTGCACGGACTAGCGAGCTTTAAGGTCCAGTGAATTGAGGTTCAGTGAACGATATGTACAGTAATAACATATTTAAAAAGAAGGTGTTCCCCACGGGATATTTACATGAAATTTAAAATGCATCAACAAAAGTACATTGGCATCTAATCGAGAGACTGCTAAATCTTATATACTTAATAATCGAGTATGAAGAAGTTACTTCCAGAACTTTCCATGTTAAGAAATTTGTCTCAAAAAACACACAATCAGTGCCATAGCGAAAAGACATCCGTATATCGTTTAACTTTCACTATCGCAGTGGCCGTATATATATTTTTTCTAGTTTTAAGCTTGTCACGCGACAAAAAGCTGATATAAGTGACGTTGCTTTGGCTGACCTCAGCAGAGACCCAATATATACATATGCAAAGGGCGATTCCCATTTATCAGAACTCATTCTGTTCAAAAATATCAACACTGTATTCATTTTATGAGAATATTTAATGCGTATTCCCTATGGGCGTCTTAACCTAGCTGCGAAAGTGTTCAGGTTTTTCTCTTTCATATTCAGCACACCGTCTTGCATAATCTTGAACAGAATTCATAATAGAAATGAAAGTCTATCACCAACTGAGAGGCTCTCTTTATTTCGGACCTTAAGATGATTGCTTTTAGGTCTTCATTTTTAACTTAATTAACATCACCGGTAATATTGTGTCCAGCGGGACTGTAGTTAAAAGAAGAAGAAGAGCAAGAAGACTAAAAAAAGATTTTGTCTTAGATTTTCAATATCTAAGCACGTTGAGGTTTCTTTATAATTGAAAAGTTAAGAAGCAACAGTTTGGGAATATCTGTCGAAATGCAGGGTGTAGACTTCAACTTTAATCACGGTTGAATGCAAGGCTGAACCATTTTTTTATGATTAAGAATGTTACTAATGTTCACAGCATCTATTCGTTTGTTGGCATATTAACGTTTAAGGAAACGACTTGTTGAGTCAGAATTATCTTCCGGCTATTATCTTGAATAGCCTGTGTTGATCAACATCCATTATCACAAATAGTAGCTTGTATTCTGCTGTTGAAGAATACAAGTATGGACTTGCTTTAGCTTCTTGAGATTGTTCAATCAAAAATCTCAATGGAACATGTAAATTTTAGTGTGAATATGATGAAGGCTTGATTGTTTATTGAATAGGCAAAATTGAATCACAAGAAACATCATGTATATTTAATCTATAGTATGATCGATGCCTTTGACTACGTCTTAATGTATTGCTACAAAGTAACATCACATTCACATTGGCACATTGTGGGCTTAAAAGATTCCTTGCATTATTTATGTCGTTCCTGCAAGCATACGCAAAGGCTGTGCTAGTTTCCTGATCCTGTATTCTTCTTGTCTAAAAAATGGAGTATTAAAAAAGACTCTTTGATGGATGATATATTTAAAAAAAAAACGAACAAAATAATCACGTTAAAGATACCGTTTACACGTAAGTGTTTTAAACCACTAGTCACGTGTATACAGAATAATTAGAAAAAAAATCAATTAAAAAACGTTGATAAATGACACAAGCTAACAAAAATATGATACGAAAATATTTTGGTATAGGTTAGATATTTTGTTGATTTAGCAATATTACTGAAGGAACTATTAACACTGTACTACTAAAAAAAATGCATGCATATACCAATTAAGAGAGAAGTGAAAATCCGCTCAGAAAATTTTGGGCTGAAAATATTTTTTATTTACTTGTACCATTTTTGAGATAAACCAGTTTGTTGGGTCCCACAATATAATGCTTAATTAATCATAAAATATTTTTCTCGTAACAAAGAGTTTACAGGTGACCAAGATCGATGACGTTCTCAGTAGAGGTCAGCATTTTAAATCGAATTTCAATTTACTTTAAATCACAACCAAGTAATTCACTCTGCATAACACTAAATGTAAAAGCTCGATAACATTATTTGTTTCTTAAAGATATTTAATTATTGCATACCTTATGTCAAAAGGGGGAAAATGTCACACACCATGATTCCATATCCAACTATTTTGAAAATACGATTATCATGAACTTTATTTTTTAATCGTTAATTTCTTTTTTACCACAATTAACCCAAATATATAGAACCTTTATTAATGATTATATAATCAACACTTTTGATAACCACAAGTTGATTGCTTGTGTAATCACCGAGATATAATGTAGGTTGGAGAACAATATAAGTTAATATATTTACAGGAATAGGAAAAGGTTACTTTCAGATAAACTAACGTTATTAAAAGTTGAAAAGTAACGTAAATAACGATCCGTTTCATTCCTAAATGCATTCATTATTGAAAATTAGGAAAAACAGCTACCCGTTGAAATACACTTACATGAATGTTCTAATCAAGAAAACCACAAGCGACACACGTTAAATATGTTCGAGTGTTTGGTACATGTTGTCCTCTTTATAGCATATTAGGTCCCTTTTTATTTGATAATAATAAGTCGTTTTTTTTCTTCATAAAAAGTCAAATAGTTTGAACAAGCAAGAGTATTGAATAAAAGGTACCGCTACATTTGTTTCTAGTTGTAGTTATTTTCTACTGCTTGCTTTCAGATTCAGTAGCGTTTAATTTGTCATCACTGAGTGGAGCAGGTTACATGTCAGAAAACAAAAAAATATTCAGCAATACCAAGTTCCCATCAGCCCTAGCAGGACAAAGCGAAAACCCCGAACATACTCCTGGCGTAAAAGCCGACAGGTGGATATTAGAAGGGGAAGAGTTTCGATTGATATTCATTGTGCGATACGTATTTAAAACGTTTGTAAAAGAAAATGCATTTGGTGTGTTTTTTCTTGATGAAGGAATTGAAGAACGGCTCTTTCGCCAAAACGATTCACAGGAGATTCGGAGAAACCCAGTTATGTTTGCCGGCTGTTACGAAAATAATTTTCGTTTGATTTTTGCTCATCAAGAACTGATAAAATACACTTTATTGTTTCCCTGTTTAAAAGGATCTACATTTACTATTGGATTCGATGTAAATGTAAGTGGAGCACTCGGTACAGTTACCTTGCGTGATCTACTGAGTGGAAGAGAATTATACACATTTAATGCTGTCAACTTCTCAGAGCCATTGATCCCAGCTTTTGTTTCTTCTCACCCGGAGGAGGGTGAATGTATAATAATTCTGATCTAATATGTTGTAACCTTAAAAGTATATAATGAAAGATCATAATTTTTTCTTATTCTTCATGAAGATTTTATTAATGATTAAAATACAGACTCTTATTTATGCAGAGGAGTTCAGATGCGCAATGGAAATATGGGTAAATTTGAATGATAAAAATCCACTCTTAATTAGGTTGGTCATTTCTTTCAGAACTTTTCCAATGATCAGAAATAAAATGGATAGTATTGATAATGGGGAAGATTGGGTTTATTTCTAGACTGGACACTTTTGGCAATCACATAGGTTTAGCTAATACACCTGTAGTATTGAGGTATTTATAAATTTCAATATTGCAAGGGCATAGTGAGATTAAAAATGTTTAATCAATAAATATCTTTTGTAGTTTATGAAAAAGCCAGCAAACCTATCAAGATTCTTCTATTTATTTGTTTAAATTAATCTTAAGGACAGCGTTCTGTACTTTTTCCTGGTCAACTGCAATATAAAAAAAAATCAAATTCATTTCTAAACAAAATTTCATCAAGTTCACAGAAAATGTCGAATATCATAATGCCCTATAAACGTATGCATTTGTTGTCAAAAAGATGAAAGTTTCAAAGGAAAACATTCATATTAGCAGCGTTCGTTCCATAATGATTAAGAAAGTCTTCTCTCTTTATCGTGAAACTGGTCACGGTAGCCTAGTGGTAGGGCGTTCATCAGTGATCAGGAGGCCCGAGTTTGATTCTTGTTCGCTGCGCCGCGTTAAATCTAAGACGTAAACATGGGTAGTAATTGTTCCTTCGCCACGCCCGGCACTAAAAGTTAAAGTCACGAGTCTTTCGGATGTGACCTTAAAAACCGGGGTTCCGTGCCACTGTAGGCGTTGGCACGATAAGGAATCACTGCTCAATAGCCCTGAGTACCAAGTATAGGTCTAAATTTGGAGCCCTTTACCAAATATGGTGACGTCTCTATATGAGTGAAAAATTTGGAATGGGAGGTAAACAACATACAATCAATCAATCAATCTTTAGCATGAACATTTTTATGTCTTCTTTCGTTTCCGTTGCTTTGTCAATGTGGTCTACAGAGGTGACAGTACTTGTCAGTGATCCCTGAATAGGACCTTTGCAAAGTTTTTTCTTCTTTTTCCAATTTTTTTTATTTAAGGTCACTAGATCTGTAAACGTGTTTAACCAGCATATTCTAACCTAGTCATATTGTTATATACACACACACACACACCCTCATTAAGTCATACCCACTACACTTTAAAGTTTCCGTCTGTTTCTGGTACCAAATGGTTCATAATGAAGTTCAAAAGCCCACTGAATCTTGAGTAATTCATATACTCGTAAAACTAAACGGTTTACATCTCGACTGAAACTGCCAAAGTCATAACCTTCTCCTTAGCGACCATGATTGACCAGAAGTGGACGCCAGAAAAGTCCGAGATGTTGTGATTGAAAAGACTAAATCTTAAATAAATAAAAATGTTTTGAATTATAAATAATAAATTATATATTCCTAAAGTTTTGGTAAAATCTTCCGAAGATTTTTGGCGGCAAAAAAATAATAATAATAATAATAAAAATAAAATAAAATAAATCTGCAATTGGATTGGCATATTATTCCTGCTCCAGCGTCTTCTTTGAATATTTGAGAAGGAAAGAGCAAGATGAACAAGAAATTTGGTTTATTTGGTATCACAACGACAACAACTACAGTATCCAAAATACTACAACAATAATTAAACCAAGACATGAAATCGAGGACTACACAGAAGGGATGCTTGTTAACAGCAAAGTTTCAGGGGAATCTTTACAAAGCTGCTATATAGTGCGAATGCATAGTATGTTTAGTGTTAACTAAATATAATTATCGTTTTACTCAGTTTACAATTAAGCACGAGACATACTAGTAAAGTTAATAGCATTTAAGCCTAGAAGAATAGTGACTATAACGTTACGGATAGTGGATGCTTCAAGACAGGAAAATGAACGATATTTTGATGCAATGAAAAGAGGTGTCCAACAAAAATAAAGAAGGGTGCTATGTTGAAAGAATTTGTATAACTGTGTGCAAGGATCTATCAACATTTGGTATATTAGATTATTCATTTCTAAGCGTTTAAGATATGACGTCATTTTTTTATTTATGACATGTGCAGTCAAGGACATGCTTATTTTCCTCTTCAAAATGGCCGCTGTACACTTTGCACTTCACGTCCCGGGATCATGAAACATTTAACGCCTGACTCAAAATCTTTATGTTGTATTAAAATGTTGTAGAGTCAAACAGACCAAAATTAAATTATTTTTCAATATAACTTCACAAACGTGTTGTTATCTGCAAATTTGTAGAGATTAATTCAATAATAATAAACATTTTACAGCCGATTTAAGTCTAAGTCTATTTCATGATCCTGGGGCATCTCGATATTTTGTTAATGCTACACAATGGCGATTTACATATAGGTACCTGAAGCGTGCCCCCCCCCCCCCCCCAACTAATCAAAATATTATAAAATAATTCTATTATACAATTCTATTATAATGATAATAAATTTCTGTGCGATTATACATTTGTTAAGGTTTTAAAAAAATGGCTATATACGGTACATTTTTTATACCGTATGTGGCCAATTTTTTAAACCTTAACAAATGTATAAACCAATTGCACAGAATGACATACAGATAGAAATGACAGAGAGATCATATTTTCAAGAAAATAGACTCCTTATATTTTATTAGTTAGTTGGGGGTTGGGGGGTTGAGTTAGTTGATCCACGCTGGGTTCAGGTGTCTGTGGATTTACACTGGTAAAATACAGCAGAGAACTCCAGTGCTGTCAGGACATAAAAAAATATTTTATAAAAACATGTATACACTCAACCATCAGTGCTTACCGGTCATACAGAAAGAAGACGCATTTATTTAAGGCAACCAATAGCATAGATTGGCAATTGCTTAGATTTTGTAATATAATAAGTAGGCAAGAGGAAAAGTTATAACATTTTTAATCGACAGATGAAATATTACACCCGTCGGGAATATCACCACTTAACTTTACCCAGATAAAGCTCTGGGTGTATATGTATGTACACATGGCACAGGAGCATTGTTGTCCATGAATGCATATACCGTGTATACAGGGTATCCTGAAAATGTCTAGCTGAAACAGCCCATGCCTTTAATATTTTTTTGCATATTTAGAAAACTATAAATTAGGTGTGACACCCACTCACTAAACATGAAATACAATTTCTCTGTAATAGTAGATGTCCGACGACAAGAAAAACTTGGGGCTATTGCCCCCCCCCCCCTTACAGGCGCGCGAATCCAGGATTTTTTTTTCCAGGGGAGGGGGGCACCCCGCAGTCCAAAAAATGCCATCAAGAAATTTCTTTACAAGCAAAAGAAAAGAACTATGAATATACTTTGCCCCTTCTTTATGCTTACCCCCCCCCCCCCCCTCCTAAATAGAATTCTTGGATCTGCTATTGGTACACTATGCACAAAATTTATTGGCAATTTAATACCAGCTTTACAACATTCTCATAAATTGGAGAACTTACAGTCACTTTCTCACTTAAAATGTAAAATTTCTATGAAAATTCAATTCTTCTGAATTACTCATTTTCCTACATTTAGGAATGATTTAAGTAAAATTTGGTACAGAAATATACTAAACTAAGATACATAATGTTGAGTATTCTCACAGATAACAAGGATGAACAGAAAGATCATCTAATAGAATTTGAGGAAATTTTGAAAGATGAAAAATTGACACATAATAAGGTTATGGAAAAAAGGGGTGTGGGAGTTACAAAGGACATGAATCAACAAGTTCAAACAGGTGTTAATATACATACATATATTAAAAATTGGAAATCTGGGCCCACCAGATTTTTTTCTGATGAGTATAAGATGGTTTATTTCAAAATAGCTATAAAGCCCAATATTTGAATGTCAATGGCAAGGCCTGGACTAGAAATGAACCAATTGCAAATTTGATAAATATTGTTATAAATCACCAGGTGAGTTATTAGTAATTTCCCCAAATTTTATCTAAATGGATTTGAATTTCATGAATTTTTAAACAAGGTCACTGTTTCAAAAGTTAAAAGAAAGAAACAAGATGAGTCATCTGCAAAAGAAACAAAAAAAAATGAAGACAAAGATGATAATAAAATGCTGAAAAAAAGAAAAAGCTTTAAAAGATGTCCTCATTGAGGCATCAAAAATGATGGCGAAGAAATTGGTATCCTCTTCAGGTATGTGTGTGTGTAAATGTGTAAGATGTAATATTTACATTTGCAGAAGTTTTCCAATATATATGTTTATAACACTATTTGAGTAATGTGTATTTAAACTGTATATAAACAGGTTGGTCCCATTTCTTCAAAGAAGATGTATGAACAAGGCATGCAAAATGCCTACACCTTCAAATGTATAAATATGATACTGTAAAACAAGATATTATGGCGAACTAATAATTGAAGCGCCTTTGGCGCAAGCGCCCCTGAACGCTAACATTTATTGTGCACTAGTGGATTTCTAAATATTAAACACACAGCAATTGCTCAAGTACATGTAAACAGAAACACGCGATTACATAATATCGTAAGGTGGCTGCATTTTTGTATACACACTTGCACTGGCAAATTGTAGGATCGTTCGAGAAAGTTCTGCCAAATTATAAATTAATTAAACTATTATTTTTCATTAACACCTCCAAAGTTGGGGTTCTCGCCGTGTCAATTATCTACCGACTCGAGGTGAAAATGTAATCAAGCATGGTGATCGACCTTGTAGACAATGGTTTGTTCCCATTTCGCTTTAACTGTAAAATTTGCTATTCCCATTTCGCCTTAGTAAGCTCTGAGGTAAATTAAGGCTAAATGGGAACTTGTATAAACATCTAACTAAGTCTAAAAATATTGTTTATGTAGCAGGATTGATATGAATCTTAAATTAAGATATTAGTAATTTTATGAAACTCTTATGGAGGTAGAGTTGACAAAAAGATAATAGTTTTATTTCAAATATCATTTATTATCATTTAATATTTTTTTATTTTGAATAATATGCTTATTAATAGTGATAAAAATCAAGGCAGTGATTTTTCTACATTTTTTAAAAGGGGCCTGGGCCTTTACAATTGGGAAAAATCATTGACATCTGTGCCAACTTGGGAAAAAACAGTAAGATTGTAGTTAACTTTAATTTACAGGTAAAATGACATAT